TTGTCGAGAGAATATGCATGATTGATTCCTTGATTTGCTTATAACGGATCAGGATATTTTCATATTGAAGAATCACAGCATTTATTCCCTTGTGTTGTTGGATACTGTACCCGCCAGCATGAGACACACTTGGTGATAGTACGACCTTTGGATCCAGTGCCAATACGCCAAATAATACAGCCAACAAGCTTCCTGACTATTTCCCCAACTCTTTGCAGCCCTTCAAGACTCAAAGCCCGTGGAATTATGGCATTTGGGAAATGCTCACTTCTGGTAACCTGGACGCCACGAACCTGCAGCGTCGTGCATATCTGGCTGCGTATGTAATACGACCAACCATGCAATGCAACAAATGGCACAGCGGCGTAAGCTGACTCACATATCTTGTCATGTATCGGACTTGAGAGCAAGCTGAACATATGAAAAAGAGGTTCGGCCCCAAAAGTCCACCGCTTTTTCTTGATCTGTCTCCATCGCTTTTATATAAGAGTCGTGAACTGACCAGAAGAGATTGATAATGGAGACTCTCGACGTGGTAATTGTTGGAGCGGGTAAGGAATCATATCGATTGAGATATTAAAGAATATGTGAAAGGACAGCAAGCTTACATCCATCAGGTTGGGCTGGGCTGGCTGCGGCCAAGATTCGCCATCAGTTACACCCTGAAGAATCACTGGCGGTCTTCGACTCAGCTGCTACACTTGGTGGCACCTGGGCAAAACATCGCCTCTATACAGGCCTGAAAACCAACAACATGTTGGGTACTTACCAGTACCCTGATTTCCCCATGGACACAGAAACGTTTGGTGTCAAGCCAGGCCAGCACATTCCTGGCCAGACAGTACACAGATACCTGGAGACTTATGCTCGACACTTTGATACATATGACAAGATACGGTTTGAGCACAAGGTTGAGACAGCAGAGCATCAAGAGAACGGTGGTTGGATTCTGACGGTAAGGGACATCAAAATTGGTGATAATATTAAGATCAGGGCCAAAAGACTGGTTCTTGCGACAGGCCTCACTTCAGAACCCTTTCTACCAATCTTCGAAGGCCAAGAAGACTTCGAGGCCCCCATATTCCATGGAAAAGACTTACGCAACCATGAGAATACCTACGAAACGGCCAAGTCAGTGACTGTATTCGGAGGCACAAAGTCGGCTTGGGATATGGTGTATTTATATGCCACCAAAGGCATTCGAGTGAACTGGGTCATTCGAGGTCAGTAATATCGAAAAGACATAGCGAAGTGACTTTACTGAATTTTACAGAATCTGGCCATGGCCCTGCTTGGAATGCACCTCCTTATGTCACACCTTTCAAGAAGTGGCTCGAGAAACTCGCCCATATAAGAATGTTAACGTGGTTCAGTCCGTGTAGTTGGGGTGCCGCGGATGGACACGTGAAGACTCGTAACTTCTACCACGGAACATTCATTGGAAGAGCTATCGTCGATAAGTTCTGGAGCATTCTTGGTAAAGACGTTATCACGCTCAACAAATACGACTCTCACCCCGAGACGGCCAAGCTCAAACCCTGGTCGAATGCCATGTTTGTGGCAACGAGTATAGGGATTCTCAACTATGAGAAGGACTTCTTCGAGGTTGTCAAGGAGGGACTGGTCAAGATACATATTGCTGATATCGAAAGGTTGAGTACACAAACGGTGCACTTGTCTGACGGAAGTGCATTACATACGGATGTGCTGTGCTGTGCAACGGGTTGGAAACATGTTCCTCCTATCAGATTCCTGCCAGAAGGGATCGCTGAGGATATTGGGATGCCTCATACGCCGTCACCGAACTCGTTCCCTTACGCTTCACTCCTGGATCAAGTCGATAAGGAGATCTTCGACAAGTTCCCTCGCCTCAAGGATCAGCCCATACAGAAAGTGCAAAATAGCAAGTATCATACGCTGCTAGAGGACAAAGGTCTCTCTAGCAATGATACTATTACGCCATCGACAGATCTGACGCCGTATACGCTATATCACTTCATCATCCCGCCGTCAAGTCAGTTCCTCAAGACTCGAGATATTGCTTTCGTGGGAATGCTAGTCAACTTCAGCAACCCCATAGTTTCCCATGTCCAATCGCTCTGGATGAACGCCTTCTTCGATGATATGATTCCATCTCTCCCTCGAAATCCTTCACCAGAGTTTGTATCTAGATTCCAGCATGAGGCAGTGCTTCATAGTCGGTTCGGAAAATGGCGATACCCAGGTGGTTTTGGCCACAGCTTTCCCGACTTTGTGTTTGATGCTGTTCCGTATCTGGACCTACTACTGAAAGACCTGGATCTACCAATCTATCGAAAGAATGGCGTATTTGCTGAGATGACGGATCCATATGGGCCAGAGGATTATACGACAGTCGTGGATGAGTGGAAGGCGAAGCAACTTGAGCCGGAAGCTCCGTGGTATCAATGGATACACGCGCTCGCCTATTGAAGGATGCCACAACAACACCAGAATAGTTTGGCTTCTTTGATGATAGCGATGGTCGATTTGAGTGTGTAGAATCTGTCCTGTAAATGGCATTCATTGCTTAATTGTGCTGACTCCTTGATGCTTCTCGGGATTAGGCAGCAGCACGTTCTTGGTCACTTGACTTATATGGCTAGAGCCGTCCATTTCCCCATCACAGAACTTGCAACATCCTCCTTAACATCTTGACTCAAACCGTGAATCTTCTATAGGCAATTAGAGCCTTGAGAGAAAACATGCCTGACACTATTGATTTGACCGGCTCATCACCATCTATGCCACGTCAAACAAGAAGTTCAACTCGAGCACTCTCTTCAACCACCGCATCCTCAAGAAAGGATCAGACAACAGACGCTTCCTCTCACAAACCAGAGATAGAAACTCTATTCTCTTTATCTAGCCTTGGCCTCTCAAAAGAGCACCACAATGCCCTCATCTTTAAACGCAACTGGCTGACCTCTCACACCATTCCTATTCCCCGAGATGCTTTCCGACCTTTCATCTCAAGTCCAAAGGGACTTGATACAGTAGCCGCAACATTTGTCTTTGCACAGTCAGAGGCTGGAACTGCAGTCTGCATCTCGCCCGATGGGGTCCTCCTCACCTGCGCACACTGCGTTGCAGAAGAACCCTCTGAGCTAACAGCTGATGCATCACACGTCCTCTTATCATCAGATGGAAAGGTTGTTTCAGCGAAAGTGGTAGCTTGGGATCCAATACGCGATCTCGCTTTACTTCAGATCGACAAAGCCGAGCTTCCTCACCGGCCGTTTCCCCGTGCCCGTATCGCAACCTCGCCTCCCAAGTTCAACACTGAGCTAATATGCATCGGCCATCCGGGCTCCGAGGACCTCGAGGCTGAACGCAGTGGTGTAAAGACAGAGTACGACACACTCGTTCTTACCGAGGGGACTTTCCGTGGCCTAAATAAGAATCAAGATCCGCAGGATAACAGTGAGATCGGCGCTCTTAAGCATAGCTGCTGGACGTACTGGGGACATAGCGGTGCAGCATTGTTTGATCGGAAAACCAGGGCATTGGTAGGCGTGCATTCAAGCTGGGATGACAAGACGCGCATGAGGAGGGGAGTGCCATTGGAAGCGGTGGTTGCGTTCGTCGAAGAGGTTGAAGCGAGCAAGAGGGAAGACTTTACAGAGGAGTGGCAATGGTATGTGAAGTGGGAGCCAGAACCCACCTTCACATCCAGGGCTTGATATTGGATAAGAAATGTGCTCGGAAGAGATACCATGAAAGAAAGACATGCTCGTTGTCTATCAACTTCAACTTCGAAAAGATTACTCTTGTTCTACTCCACACAAGAGTCTGTTTGTTGTCACAAAGCTCTAACATCATGTCCAACTCTTATCAACCGCCAGCATATGCTCTTATGCAAGGCAATGTCCACAAGATCCGACTCACAAAGATTCTGGCTCCTTTAGCCCTAACACTGTTTGTACATTGACCTGTCCTGATCCAACCCGTGCTTCTCGCCCATGATTACCAACCCTTCCTTCATGTTCTGTTCTGTACCGTGCTGTGCTGTGCTGTGTTGCGCTGAAATTAAGATGCAAGCCCCAAAAATAGAACGACGATGAACATTCCCGCCGCTTCTTGCAGAATAACACCCAACTTTAGTCGACTTTTCAAACGCCGTAAACCGCAATGTCCCCATGATGAATTTGATGAAAAAAAAAAAAAAAATGCTGCATGCGCATGGATGCCCGTGGCTTGATCGTTCACTTCCACAGCAACGTCCTGCCTCAATGAGCATCCCTTTGACAAAAGCAAATATGTAGCTTCGAGTGGAACCAGCCGAGGAAGCGAGTTGCTCTAAGCTCTCCCTCCGGTCGGAAATCTTCAGTTGCCCAGCCCTGCAACTCTCTAAACCCTGGTCTTCAAACAAGCCTCCCCTCTTAGTTTCCGAATCTGTCAATAATGTGATTCAGCCCAAGACAAACGCGGGTAGGCCAGAGCACTGTCTGGCGTTCTGCCCCATAATAGCCCATGGCTGGTGTTTCAGGTTCACCACCTCAGCTCAGAAACGCTGACCCACTGAAACAAACATCACCAAACGTCATGCAGACACCTCTACAGGTTTGCCGACTCTTGCCTTGTCCCACTTCCAAGAAACGCATCTAGACCTTGGTCCAGCATCGTACGGCCTTGTAGGTGGTGGTTTGTGTCGACCCTGCATGTCTGACGTACAGAATGCGTCTCGTGCTCACCACTCGAATGGACTCGGGTTTCGGTAGGCGCCGTCCGATACTTTGTGCTTGGATCGTTGGGAAACTCCACCATGAGGCACCGATTCTGAGTAGAGTTTAGATGATTCCTCCTGGGGGATCGTAGCCTGTTGGTGCCCCTCTTGAGGTGCTGCCCAGCCCAGCGCTTCCTGGTTCTCCATCTAAAGGTGCTGTTGTTGTCTTTCGTAGCATAAACATGGGTTTCTTGCCTTCCTTATCCAGTTGCTTAAACAGAATCAATGGCTTCTCCTCAAGGCCCAGACAACGTTCCTGATCGCCGTACACAATATAGAGAGCATACTGGTCCCATGGAGCGTTGATCTGGTACTTTTTCAGCGCAGCAGGAAGAACCTTGTAGCAGGGGTCTTCCATACTGACACGGAAAGATTTGAAGATCTCGACTGAAGCATTGCTCTGACTGGGTGTATCAGGTACAGGGGTTTCTCGTCGGCGGGGCGGCCCTTGCGGTGCCTTTTCGCGGGAGGCATAGACTGCGTTGGTGTGACCTTCGTCGTTGAAGGTGGTTCGTGTGGAGGGTGTCGGTGCTTCACTGCGGTAGGATCGAGAGGCGAGGGTCGTAGCGGACATGTGGGTCTGAGGAGATGTCGGGGAGGGTATGTTGGGTGAGGGATACGAAGGGGAGGACGAGCCCTGGCCACCTCCGTTCATAGCTGCAAGATGGGAAGACGATAGGACAGCTCGCTCTGCAGCACTTGCGGGGTCCAACGCAGTCTCCGCTATTGACCTCTCGTGCGTAGATTGAGTGGGTGATGCATTCTTTGGTGTAGCTCCGATGAGAATCTTGCGGGTAGAATATTGTCGCTTGACTGAGCTTCCAGATTGACTCGAGCCTGGGGGTGGTGTTGGTGCGGGGGGCGATATGGTTGTTTCGTAGCCGTAGGCCTGCTGGCTGTTACCACTCAGGTTGGGCAACGGCTGCTGCGCATCCTTGACCAAGCGCAAGGCCGGGAGCATATCCTCTCGCAATCGTCTGAAATCTTCTGTCATTCGTCGCAGATCCTGCTCGAGTAGGTTCATGCGTTCATCGCGGAGACGGAATTGTTCGACAAGATGTTTGATGTCCTTGATAGTTGCGGTAGCATATTGCGCTTCGGCGTCGGCGGCTGCAGGGGTCGCGGGTTAGAATCAGGCCAGTCCACTCAAGAGGGGAAATCGGAGACAACGTACATAGGGGTAGGTAATGGTCGCTCTCAATGGGGACATCTTGAGCCCTTTTGACATCATATACGCTTTTGAGGATCGTTAGGCGATGTCCCACGCTAGCAATGCCCATGCTCTTGAGATCATCATGTTGTAACGCTACCAGGGCCTCGCCAACAATCTCGTTTTCTGCAGGCAATCAAATGTTAGTTATCCCAATATCCCCTCCAATATCTGTGGTACCATCCGTCGAGGAGATGAGATGGCATGCTTTGGATCAAGACGCACCTATAAAGCGATCGGCATACTGTTGAAGACCAATGGTGCCAATAAAATCAGCACATTCCTCAACGGTCCATTCGGTGATGATGGTTTCTGGGAGACGGTCGGCACTGCTGCGGTGCCCGTATGTAGTAGGAGTATGCTCTGCAGAGGTCGAGAGCTCGGAGTCTATGGGGGAAGCCTCAGAGTTGGTGATAGGAGAGTGGTCGCCCATGCTTCGCTCGTATTCGTCGTCGGCGTCGGACTCGGCGTAAGCTGTGCCACCATCGAAGCTCATCATCCTGACGATTATGAAAGAACAGTCGCCAACAACGGAGGCGGGGGCTGAGACGAAAGACTAATTCAGGCGACCGTGGTGGTGGTGGTGATGCCGCAAACAGACAGATGCGCTTGATCGGGCACCGTCAGATAGAAAGAGAAGACGAGCGTTGGCGAAGGACAGTCGGTCGAATGCTTGTAAGTCTTTCATTCAAATCGTGATCGGAACGTCATTAAAAGAGAAGCAATGCTCAGGAGTAAGAGGTGGGAGACGTCAGGGTCGAGGAAGTGGGCGCAGCCTGGAGGATGATTGGATTGGAGTGGATTGAATGCAAGAACAAATCGAGTGGACGAATAGAAGATAGAATGGGCTGAGGAAAGGCAATGTCGAAGTGGGAAAAACGAGCCGATCCCAAGAGAATAAGTAGACCCAAGCCGAGACGCCTCGAGGAGGACAAGTGCCGTAGAAACGTTAATAAAAAGAGCCTAGAAAATAAAAAGAGTCGGAGGTAGCCAGAGGGGAAGAAGGCGGCTGGTGGTGGTGGTGATGATGACGGGGTGTTTGTGTCTTGGTCTAAGGTCTTGTCTTGCTCGGTCTTGGTCCTGGCCCAGTCCAGGTCTTGCTTGCTCTCGCTCGTGGAAGCGCTTGGGGGTGGAAAGGGAAGAGGAGGTCCTCCACTCCGAGTCACCTACGGCCTATTGAAATGGCAGCTGTCTCAAGGTACCCAGTACCTGAATTAGCAGGCCGTGGTAAGCCCTTCCGAGCCCTATACGGATGTACTCCGTACCTATCTCATGACCTGGCCGTTCGCTTGGTGGACCTCGTGGTCGGCCTGGGGGGGGACTTTGAATACTGGTCCTCCACTGAGGACACGGCTTGACTCCCGTCCCGCTCCACTGACAGCATCCCCCTGTAGGTACCCCGGCCAGGGCCCCTCACTACTAAATAAGTATCAAGCCTGGCTGCCGCTGCTGCAGCCCGTTAACCAGCCCAACCATTCCATTATTCGACCCTCCTATGCACGTCTTGAATCAGCCATTGGATGGTTTCTGTATGCCTTTTCAGTAAACAAACAAACCAAAGTCAATGCCGTTCTTGGACGGCTTCTCTGTCTTGAGTTGTAGTGCGCGTTTAGGAAAGTCTTGGGCGTTGACACAAAACAACCCCCCCGGCAAGTCGCTTATTGAAATGTAGTGAGCTCCTGGTCCACTCAATTAACCTCAGTTTGTCTCTCCTTCAAACACCATTGGGCCTTCAACACCAGGGAAACCATTCAAGATGGAAGTTTACGGATGGCTAGGAGACTCAAGCCACATCTCAAGTGACAGTCCGAGGTATTCTAAGGAAACATCGTGCGTTTGAGACCGAGCCTCCAGCATTCCCATTCAACAGTTAGGGAATTGACCTTGCAATGGTGCTATAGACCCCTTGGAGATTAGCAAACTTCCGAGGCAAGGTATCTGATAACGAATATAGCTTTCATAAAAGTTGAGAGGATATGCCATGGCTACCCATGAGTATATGCAACTGTTTATCAATGTTCACCGAGGTATAAGAATTGGAATCTTCATGTATACGTTTCTTTGATTAGTTGAAGCAAATCTATGCTGCTTCAGATCTATATTTGTCGACTAACAATTACTCTATATGCTGTACTCATCCCAGCCTTGAGACTTAGGTTGATAGAGTGAGTCTTGCTCATGATTCCCATTCCCAACATGGCCCATTACCTCAACACGCCTTCAACTCCATTAATCCGTTCCAAAAAAAAAAAAAGAAGAAAGACCCTCCCTCTTGCATGAGAATTTGGGGGCAAAAGGGCAACAGCCGCATGGCTAGCCGCCAAGAAGAACAGGGCATTAAACGTCGTGCAACGTCGCGTTCCTTCACAGGACGTATCTATGAAAAGCGTCAAACACCACTCAGACAACCTCCGAGCACATGAGTGATTATAAAGATGTATCAAACACCAGAAACAAAATTTGATTAAGAGGCCGAGATATTAGCGTAGGGGAATCTTTGAATCCTGGACACCGTGTTTTACAACGTCTTCAAGGTTCCAACGAGGGGCCTGAAGGGGGATTCTGTTTTCCTTTCTCCATTCCTTTTCGTTCTTGGGGTCAACGCCCTCGGGAAGATGTTCCAGTCCGCCTGCCACACCAGTCGAGAACTTGATCTGCAGGATGTCACCGACTTCGTCGCATGCAGTCAACAGACGGTCAAGGTCCTCCTTGTTGTGGGCAGCAGAAACACAGAAACGGGCGCGAGAACTGATGAGTGGGGTCGCAGGATACCCAACAACGACGACGGAGATTTTTCGTCGAAGCATCTCGTGACTGAACGCAGGGAGCTTGGCGGGGTGGTAGAGCATGACAGGAATAATAGGAGAGTCATCGTGGCCGTACACGATAAGGCCAAGACGCTTAAGTCCGAGACGAAGGTAACGAGAGTTGAAGGCAATGCGCTGGAGACGCTCCTCACCTTGACCAGGGCACAGCTCGCCAGTAATGAGTTTCAGGGAAGCCAAGATTTGCATGAGCACACAAGGAGCAGGAGTTTCGCCATACTGAGTAGCAGCGTTGGAGCTCTTGAGCTTGTCGATAATATGTTTCTCGGCTGCGATGTAACCACCGTTGGCACCAAAAGACTTTGTCAGAGTTCCCATGAGAATATCAACTTCGGAGGGATCAATGCCAAAGTAGTCGCAAACACCACGACCACGGGGGCCAAGAGCACCGACAGAGTGAGCCTCGTCAACGAAAAGATAGAACTTGTACTTGTTCTTCAGAGCAAGAATACCGGGAAGATCACACATGGTACCCTCCATAGAGTAGAGACCTTCGACGACAACCAGAATCTTCTTCCAAGGACGGTGGGTGCGGGGTTGACCCTGGGAAATAGCTTCGCGAACAACACGTTCCAAATCAGCCATATCATTGTGCTTGAAGCTCTGAATAACGGCACCAGAAAGACGAGCACCAACACGGATGGAGGCGTGGTTGAGTTCATCGGAAATGATTAGACAACCCTTGGAGACAAGGGCGGGGAAAGAGCTCGAGTTTGTGACATAACCCATAGAAAAAACCATAGAAGCAGGCTTGCCAACAAATTCGGCAACCTCACGCTCGACCTCAAGAGCAAGGTCAGAAGTACCAGCAGCACCACGGGGGCTGCAGAAGCTGATTCCGTATTGCTTGACGCACGCCTCCACAGCGTCGGCACAAGGACCTTCAGACTGGGCGAAACCAAGATAGTTATACGAACTCATGTTGAGAGTCTCAGTGTAGGTGCCGGTATATTGATAGGTGCGGTTGAAGTCGTCGGACTTGCGGTCCATCAGTGTGATGAAGCGTCCGGGGACGCCAGTGGTAGGGCGAGCGAAACAATCATCCAGGCGCATCTTGAGGCGTCGGACATAGAAATTGTCGAAATCGCTGTTGAGAGCTGCATAGCCGTTGCTGGCTTTAAGGGCGCGATAGTGCTTGGGGTTTCCGAAACGCTTGCCAAAGAAGTCGCGAATATGACCAAGAACGATCAGGATCAGGTAGCTGATGTAAGTGGTAAGAATGAAATAGTAAGGAGGCTCATCCTCTACAGGGGCCTGGAGAGGCTCTCCATGAGACTGGCTGGTGTATCGATGACTTGAGTGGAGGAGAGGGCCGAACTGAGCGTCGGCACGCTTCTGACGGTCGATCTCCTCGGCCGACTTAGGCTGGAAGAGAGTGGTCGTTGAGGCATCGATGCTGTTGGGGTCTCCAGGGCTCGCGGTTGAGAGAGAGATAGTAGGCAGACCGGGAGAAGGAGAGAATCCAGTAGCAGCGGCAAGGGCCTGCTGGGCACCAGTGGATTTGGGGCTACTGGAGAAGAAGTTGGTGATACGGTTGCCTTTTGAGGTAGAGGGGCGCCTCTCGCCCGACTTGACGGGTTGAGACATGGAGGGTGAGGATGAGAAAGGATTAAGCCGACGGGGCATCTCTCCTGGCACAGGTGCGTTGGATTGTTCAAGGCGTGAACGTAAGGGAGGCTAGATCGCGAATCGTCGAAGGAGGGTAGAGCAGCCAATTGTAGTCAGAAGGACAGAAAGTCGAGAGTCTGGGAGCCAGGAGCGAGTGTCAGTGGATGTGCGAAACCTAACAAACGATTCCAGACGATTCGCCGCAAAGCATATTCTGTAAATAGGAGGATTGTTGTGAGGAACCCAATTGCTTTTCAATGCGGATGAGGATATGCGAAGCAGGAAAGAAAACAAGACTCAACGTGCACCGCGATCGAGAACAAGCTGCAACACAAGTAACGGAGACAAAGATGTTGAGCTGGGGCTGATACACGGTACAACAGATGTTGATGAGGAAGAATTATGAAATTGATGAAAAGAGGTGACCATTGGGTTTAAAGTTGAATTGGAGCACTGTGCAGCACTGCGCGTAGTGGTGCGTGGTCCAGGAGGCACAGGGGGGCGCAGGAGGTGGCGTCGAATCAAACTTGGAAAGTGAAGATCCGCCCACTGCAAATTGCCTGTGGGCCTTCAACTCGAGTAGCGGGGCCAGCCGTGGTCCAGCCAAGAATCGCTTAAAAACACCAGGCATATGATGGGACGAACCGATGAATGATTGATGATGATTGATGAAGAGAGGATGATATCGACTCTCAGTAATGTGAAAGATCACTTACCCAATAGTGCACTACTCATCAACAGAGCAATTGCTATGCTGCTGTTCCAATTTCAATTACCGAGACAAGCGTTGCCGTTCCAAGGAAGATAGATCGATCCAAGCTCAAATCGATCAGGCCGCAACGCAAGGGCGTATGATCGAGCACCAGTCGTCGATGACTTGATTCGGCGGTCAAGCGGGATCGATACTGCTAAAGAGTACTGATCGAGAAACAACAAGGCGAATTGATGCTCGAGGGGTGATTAATCAGCCCTGGGTTTAGCTGATGGCTGAATGCTTGCTTATTGGAATAAATGGTGTTAGTCGGCGGACTCTCTCGATCACTCGGCCGAAGCCTATCTGCAAGTGGACGACGAAACACAACGACGACCTAACAAGCAGCAAGAGTGATAATGAAAAGAGAAGAGAGAGCTGACAGATGCAGGGAGTAACTGGTTATTATTCGACCCGACCTACACCACGAGAACAGAAGCAAGAAGAAAACTGCGGAGTCAGCGGGACAACGGGATGTGCATTGAAAAACAATGAAAAGTCCAGGTTTTCCGCTCCACGGGAAACAGCGGGGACCAGCACCAACTCGTACTGGGTACCTGAGTTCGAGGTGATGCGTCTTAGCGACGGGGATACCAGTTACTTGACGGAGTGTAATCAGAGCCGAGAGGAAGTTTAAAGTTGCATTTGTTGACATGTACCTGAGCCGCTGACTGTGTCGCTGTATGCGATGTACGATGTACGAGAAACGCACACAGAACAGTCTCCATAGCACAGTAGAGCAAGGCAAGCACCCGCGGAATGCACCGGACACAAGGATAATAGGGAATTCAAGGGGTCAGCTGGCGGGGACTTGCATTGCATGGCCTTCTCGTCTCGTCGTTCGCCTTTTCGTTTCCAGGCCTCGCTTCCTTGCTAGGCTTTGATAACAAGCGACTTCACAAGGCTTGAGGGTTCAAAAGCGAGGCGCGTATTCTCTATGATGACGCCGTGTTCCCCTCAAAGGCTGACCATGCCTGTTCAACTGAGCTACTGACCTCGAATCCTACCCAGATGCAGACACAAAACGATCAGAACATATCTCTGGCTCCCTCTCCTTAATCGAAGTCCCTGTAAAAAGGATCCAATGGTTCTGTTTTCAGACGAACCCCTGGGCTCCGAGGTCTCCGGCCTGCGAATGGGAAGACACGGGAGACTTTAAGAGAAAACGCCACTTTTTTTTCTTCTAGCTCGGCTCGCACCAAATTTCTGTCGTTTGCCTCGTGTAGCGAATGACAGACTTTCAAAAGCCTGAAGGGTGCCCCCAGGGAACAAGAAAACTTCTGACGTTGGACCTCGGTGGCAGAAATATAGAATCCAAGATCTACTAAATCTACACCTAAATTTGCCTAAGTCTTTTTTGTCACCTACGATAGAGGACCTAAGTTTTCTTGCCTCCCCTTGGGTGCCGCGGCTCACCATCAGATCTTGTTGGTCTTACACAGCATTGGTCATGATGAAACCCAAAGGAAGTTGGATGTCATCATCCAGGGGCATGCTGTGCCCAAGCTCTCAAAATCTCCGCCGCACCCGGCGACGATGATGGCATTATTCTTCAAGCTCCCTCGTTAGGGAAGAGTCTCGTGGCACATCAAGTCTTTGAACGCTTTTTAACTTTCGGTTCGGTCGCCTCGATAGTCACTTTGCATTTCATCCTTGATAACTGTTCGTGAATCATATGGAGACCTGGGCTAGGATATTCCCCCCAGAACAAGCTACTGCAGCCGAGTGCACACACTTGCAGCCAACGATGCTGTGCTTAGCTTGTGTATGTACGGATAACATGATTCTCAATGTAGTGCATTACTTTTTAGCGCTTGTTGCACACCGACATCAATGGCCAGATAAAAGATGCTGCAAAGCCCTGCATAACATCCATCTATCAAAGATGAACAAGATCCTCCAATGCCAAAAGACCTTCACCGCCAGCTCCTTTTCAGCCCAAAACTGCAACTAATGCACACGGTCCGTGAGGATCATTTCGTGATATTCGGATTGACTTGTCGCATTCTCGAGTTGAGGAGGCTCAAGATATCAAGTATAGTACCACCGCTTCCGAATTCAGATCATGGTCTGCTGCCTTCTTGTCGACCCCCGATCGAGCTTCACCCATGCTATGCGAAGTCAACGTCCTTGAAACAGAAGCTGAGTAAACTGTCCGGGCCTGATCATCTTGGATTCAAGGCGGTTCGGGACGATCGACTATGCCGAGTTCTCCCTACTAGCTACGGTCCGGCAGCTAAGCTTGGACTGTACCGAGGCAACCAACAACGCACTAATCTCGCCAAACTGCCATACAACGTGATTATGATTCAGCTTTGCCTTGTGCTTTGACAATCACGTTATGTTGCGTATTCGTTATTTGCTTTTGAGTCACCGTTGATTCTTCTTCTGAAGAGACCACAATGTGCTCTCCTTTTATTTGAAGTGATGGCATCTCGTTTAGCTCGACATGACAGTGGTCATTTACGAATAAAAGTGACAACTCACAACTCAAGACCTACTAATTTCGCAAGTCTCCTGAGTATGTAATTACGACGATACCATCCAAGTTATTAAAGTCCATCAATAGCTGTCATGATGGAAAACCCTTAAGATCCTCAGCTTGAGACAAGCCACACATCATGACCTCAGCCTCCCCCACCACAGCCACTTCGGGGTAAGAGACGGGACTCGATGGCGGGGAGCCGAGAACGGGAGGGGACGGCTTTCAGCGGTTGGGCCATTAGAGAAAGATTCCGAGCTGTGCTGGAAGCACGGAATCCCAAGTCCGTAGCGTTGGGATAAGAATACAATCTTCTCAACAATTAAACAGCATCTCTCTTGCTTCATCTTGGCTTCCATAAACCACTCAATCCCTCCCTTGACTGTGTCTATTGCTTCTTACACACCATCGTCTCATTGGTATCTCAACTCCTCGGAATCGTCACTATTCCCCAACAATCGTCTTTCCGAGGGCTTGGTTGACCTTTCAGTCTCCCTTACTTTCCGTTCCAATGCCCGTCATGTCGATTGACAAACTTGCACCTTCTGCTGCGGCACCTCCTTCTGATGATAATGTCCTCTGGAGGCATTCGGATCCAAAGTCCACTCACATGTGGAAGTTTCTTGAGCACGTGAACAAGAAGCATGGTTTAAGTCTCGATGGTTACCCAGCACTATACAAGTGGTCTATCGATGAAGTTGCTCAGTTCTGGGAGGAAGTTTGGCATTTTGCTGGTGTTACGGCTTCAAAGCCTTTTGAAGAGGTATGAAGCCAAGTTATGAGAGGGGCGTCTCAAGTGAGAGGCTCACCAGGCTCAAGATGAGCTCAACAACTCCAGAACTCAACTAAACACCTCTGCAGGTCCTTCCTAAGAATGCTCCTATGTACCCCCGGCCAGACTTCTTCTCGGGCTCACGTCTTAACTTCGCCGAGAACCTCCTCTTTCCCGCAACCTCTCCACTTCCCGAGCCCACTGCTCCAGCCGTTATCACTGTTACCGAGTTGCCAAACTCCACAGTGACTACTTCATGGGCCGAGTTGCGTGAGGCAGTCCGTCGTTGTTCTAATGCCCTGCGTGCAGCTGGTCTTAAGCCCAATGATGTTGTTGCGGGTTTCGTCTCAAACCATGTTGAAGCGCTGGTTGCTATGCTTGCTGCCGCCTCAGTCGGCGCCATTTGGACTGGTATAAGTCCTGATAACGGTGTCTCAGCTGTGCTGGACCGTCTGAACCAGATTGCGCCCAAGGTGCTATTTGCCGATAACGGCACAGTCTACAACGGCAAGGAGTGGTCTAGTGTGACAAAGACGACTGAGATTGTGGCTGCGTTGAAGGACAAGGGGCTTGAGAGAGTAGTTGTGATTAACAACATCAGCTCTGGTGGACTTGGTCTTGAGGAGCTTGAGAAGCATGGCGTGTTGGCTGTCGATTACGCCAAGATGCTCGAGTCTGCTTCTGAGGACCCCCTGAAGTTCGAGCAGCTTCCTCCAGCTCATCCCCTCTACGTCCTCTACTCCAGTGGTACAACTGGCCTCCCCAAGGCCATTGTTCATACAGCTTTAGGTACGCTTCTGCAGCACAAGAAGGAGCATCTTCTTCACTGCTCACTCGACTCCTCATCTCGAATGCTCTACTATACGACTACCTCCTGGATGATGTGGCACTGGAGCATCGGAGCTCTTGCCGTGGGCTCTACCATCATTGTCTACTCTGGCTCTCCTTTCCGCCCCCATGGTCATCTCTCACTCCCACGTCTCCTCTCTGACCTCAAGGTCACTCACTTCGGTACCTCGGCCGCCTACCTGACTGCACTAGAGGCCAATAACGTTTACCCTGTCCGTGATGAGTCGATTGATCTTTCAAACCTGAAGGCTATTTACTCCACTGCTTCACCTCTCCCCCCATCGACCTTCAAGTTTATCTATGAAGCCTTCCCCAAGCATATCAACCTCGGCTCGATTACCGGTGGAACAGACATTATCTCACTATTCGGAGCGCCTTGCCCACTACTCCCTGTTCGCGTTGGCGAGATCCAGTGCGCTGGTCTTGGGATGGCTATCCGTGCTGTTGACTCTGTCACGGGCGAGCCCATCAAGGCCGACGAGCCAGGTGATCTTGTCTGCATCAAGCCATTCCTTTGCCAACCCCTGACCTTTTTCGGTCCTAGCGGCGAGGCCAAGTATCAATCAGCCTACTTTGAGAGGTTCGAAAACATCTGCGGCGTTGAGGGCGCAGTATGGCACCACGGAGATTTCGTCAAGATTCCCGACCCTGCAACCGGCAGTCTTGTCATGCTTGGACGATCAGATGGTGTGCTAAAGCCATCAGGGGTGAGATTCGGCTCAGCCGAGATCTACAACATTCTCACACGCTTCTTCGCCTCTGAAGTCGAGGATGCAGTTTGTATTGGACGGAGACGGGAGACAGACTCAGACGAGACCGTATGTCTCTTTGTGGTGATGGTACCTGGACATGAATTCAGCGATGACCTACGCCTAAGGATTAAGTCCAAGATCAAGTCTGAATTGAGCCCTCGACATGTACCTGGCGTCGTGGAGGAGTGCGGAGGCGGCGTCCCCAAGACTGGCAATGGAAAGAAGTAAGTCTACCCCTTAAGAATATCCGTAGGATGTGTGATGTTAACATTCAACGCAGGATTGAGGTCGCAGTGAAACAGATCCTTTCTGGTATGAATGTCAAGACCAATGCCAGTGTTGCAAACCCTGAAGCACTAGATTGGTTTAAGAAATGGGCAGAGACTCACTAGAGAAGTCCAAATAGTTTGGGGAGTTATATCTTTGGCCGGAACTAGATAAAACATTGTCTATGGGATATAGGAAGGCTACATGGGTTAGATACGATGGCGTCGACAACGAAGTGACTGGCTGATTTCTGGTTTCGCAAGTACACCTCCTTACTGCTCAATCTCTTACACGAGTGCCATCCGTGCTAAGATTCCTTCTGTCATGGGGACGCAATATCACTGTGTCGCCTGGCTCTCATAAGATGAAACCTCGCTCCTGTAGGTTGATATGAGTGAATAAAAAGATCGGAGCTCAACAACATATGAATATTGCTGGACAGTCTAATGAATATTGCAGTATCTAAGCACAATGACAGAATGAAGATGACAAGAAATCATTTCTCATTACTAATGCTATTCCCAGATCTATGGTATATCCCCCATGCATTGCGCGCATATATCCCTTAAAACTCCACCCATGACACATAAAGACAATACGTAGTTTCTTCTGACCTCGAGCTCAAAAGTGTACACTTCGCTTCTTCTGAACCTTCTTCCGCTTCTCTTCGTCCTTTCGACTGCTGAAGAAGCCACTGACACTTGCTGCCGCCGGTCCAGCATAGGGACCCTGCAGTAGACCACCCAAACCATGACGTTTCTTTCCATTCTCACTGGGGCCTGGCTGAGCTTGCGAAGGAGGAGGAGCAAAGTTTGGCTGAGGAGCGCCATACGGTGTTGGTCCAACACTGTTGGGTCTTTGGGGCAGGTTGTTTGGGGGGTTCAATGCGCCTGACGCAAACTGCGGTCTGGGAGGTAAGGGTGGTGATGGGTGACCCGGGCTCGTGGGACTCTGGAAGTCTTGCCCAGCCATGCCGTATTCTCGACGGAGCCTTTCTGTTTCTTGTTCAACCTCAGCATCTCTCTTCCGACGCTCTTGCTCCTCAGTCTCGAGCATCTTCTGGATTCTCTTGCGTTCATCCTCCTCTTGCGCTTCACGCTCAAGTCTTTTGCGTTCTTCCTCTGCGACCATTGCTTGTAGGCGTCGTGTTTCCGCCTCGACCTCAGCTTCTCGCTGGGCTTGGTTGCTTGACTGTTGTGGGGATGCTTGTGCACGATGAGGTGACGATGGACGGTTGTTATTGAGAGCACCCGCCATTGTTGGGCCTGCCGAGGAACTTGCTGCTGGGCGAGAGTTCTGGCGACGCCGGCCATTAGATGAGGATTGGAGGTGGAAAGGATCCTGGCTAGGGTTCAGATATAGGTCCTTGATGGTCTCAGCGCTCATAAGAAGAGCAATCTCAAGACCCCTTCTATCCTCGATCTCAACGCGGGCCATGTTGGGTTCATAGATGGTCAAAGTCGAGTCATGCTTGGCGCGGAAAAATGCTACCGTAATATCGGGTTCCTTGCTCTTTTTTCCACCCACATTTCGTCCTGTCATATAGCATGTCATGTCCTTGCTCAGACGACCATCACGTTTCCAGCGAAACACAACCTTGGGAACCAACTCGGCCAGAGATGGACGATCCTCCTGGTCAATCTGGCTAGCACTGGGTAGCTTAAAGGATCTCTCGGGAAGCTCAAACTCCCAAGCGCCCGTCTTTCCCCAACTTCCCGGTTGTTGCTTGACGGGTATAGCCTGATCGGGGTTGTACAGCGAAACCGCAAAATTATCTGGGATGATAGGTGTCTTGGGCGGCGGGTTTCCGTTTTGCGCGCGGATTTCGGCGGCAGAGAGAGTGGGCGCTACCCAGTCAGGCTTGACATCGACCTCTGCATATATCACAGATGTGTTCTGAGAGTCGAATATGCCGAGCGCATATTGGCCATTGGCTTCGGAAGGCGCCGGTCGCTTGATGAGGTACTCGGGCGTAGGATCTGATCCATTGTGTGTGAAGTAGAGAATATTATTGAGTGGATTCTCTGAAGAGGTCTTGAAGCGATATGTCGGGAGGTTTTCGTCAAGCATCTTGCCAACTGTATTGGTTGTCTAGAGCTCAATGCGATTGTTGACTTGGTGTCGCAGGGCTAATACGTGGGATGACGTCGTAACCCGTCGGGTGTAACACAAGAAGTATAAGAGGGTGTAAGTCGTAAGAAGTGAGTCGCTTGTGGTTCAGGGATGGCTCAAGTAGGAATTTGAGGAAGAGAGATAGTTATACGAAGTTGCAAGGAAAAGTCCGACAGACAAGACAATTGCGCGGCAGGCTGAGACTTGGAGGCGGGGCCGCCTTGAAGCAGATACAGCTTGTGACTGATCGGGAAGTGTCACAAGGACTTTAAAGACTTGGCTGACGAATGCGTATAAAGGCAATCAGATAACAAATAATAAACTTACATTTAAGGGAATGAATTATTCTCGAATAGCACAGAGACAAAGAACATTCCTGTACTTAACTTATTTATGTACTACTTGCTAATCGAAACTACGAGTGCTCGGTCTCGCATTAGTGACGTACCAAATCCGCCCAACGCCACAACCGATACTCAAAGAGGCTGTGCAAATTCTTTAGTGTCGCCCAAGTGTTACTATTCTAGTCCTGCTCCCTGTCACGTTTATATATCGGATTGCGACTGTCCGAGGACTGGCCTCAGGGATCGGCTTCCAATGGCGACTCTACCAATGGGTGATGCTGAGAGTATTAAGCATGTTCATCCATCTTTAAACGCGCGTCCAATGAGAAGCAGATCGTTTGAGCCTCGTCCTTTGCGTCAGCTTTGGACCTGATATTTCATTCCATTGCGTATACAAGTGTCACACTATCAAATATACAGGGTATGATTTGTTATTCTAGAGAACTGATACTCTCTACTCTCATCTCTTTGTCTAATAGACTGCGAAAGCGCCGTGAGATGCCTAAAATTCCAGATGCTAGTTCATGCCTGCCGTGCTTTAGCCTTCAAACAGTCCCAAATGCATACATCGTCTCTGAACGCCTTGCATCCAATGCAAATTCAATGCCATGTCCGTTTTGGTGCGCCTTCTTCTGAAATTCATGTCATAGTCCACCTTTAATGATGTAAGTAGGTTCGGTCCCCTCTTCTCCCCTCGATTGCAAATATGCCCTAGCTTTGCGTAGCTATCGTCGCGCTTCCCAAGGCTCCCTCATCTCAGATCAACAACACGAAATTTGAACTTGGCTTGGCAGCAGTAATTGCAGTACTTATGTGCAAGGCCCTTACTTCAGGCCCGCGGCCACAAAACACTTCCATCTGACCAATCGGTTGTACTGTTAATGAGCCCGTGCGTGCTGAGCGATGTGATCAAGGATGATGGTTCGCAGCTCTATGCATAGTCCTCTTGTGCTTGTTCGTGTGTTCGTATCGTGTCATATCGATCTTGCAGGCCGTCTTCAATCAAGGTCGTTTTTCGAAAGTTGTCGCAAGTGAAACGGTCACCGCCTTACTTTCGGTCAAAGCGTCAACTTGCCGACGTCAAACCCTCCCCATATCCATGATCCAGCTGTGGTCATCGCTATGCAGGAGGCGCACTACTTGTTGCATTTTCTTCTTCGTCTGCTGCGGGGGGGCCTCGGCGCCTTCGTTGTCTTCGACGCTGATTTTGGAGTCGTGGTCGACAGCATGGGTACCAACAGCAAACGAAGCATGCGACAACCAGGCCAATGGCGAGACCGATCAGAAAGCCACGCATGATTTTCTCCCCATTGGAGCCTCCCTTGGCGATGCCCATGAACTTGTCGCGAAATAGGTCATCTGCAAATGAATCTGACGGATACACATTTCCCGTGGTGCCTGAAGACGAAGACTGATCGGTCTCTGGCGATGAGGAGTGGTCGCCGCGGGGCATAAGAGCCCATAGTGGTGAGATAGGCATGATACCGAGATCTGGATCTCACAAGGCCAATATGGAAGTAAGCAAGTGAATTGGACGAGAATTAAGCTTAAAATCCTCTTGATATGCTTGGCCGATCGCAGAAATGAGAGTAAGCTGTGGCACCTGAGAAATCGAGGAAGTGGTAGTTGTCGCTCATATGTCCGGGTGATCCGAAAGTTGAACCGGAGCGGCAGCTACGGAGGGACGGCGTTGGGGGATCGGCGATAGACAACCGGAACAGTATTTTGTTGCAGTATTGTTGAGAAATGAGATAGAGTAGAAGCCAAGGACCAGATAACAGATCGAATAAAAATGCCGAGAAGATGATCGCAGTAGTTCGTGAATAGAGTCGTCAAAGATGAATATTGTCAAACCGCCAATAACTCAATGTGATGCAAGGTGGAGATAAAGGTGAAAGCAACGACAGTGATCAGCAGCTTCTCAAAGTGTATTCGTTATCATAAGCAAAGGATCACATTCCGTGGGATGAAAAGGGTTCGAAGTGAAAGTATCGGCGTTTGATTTGTCTCCGGCAGAATCAACTTATAACAAAGCCAAGATTTTGAAATCTGGAGGTTGAAGAAAAGTGAGTACGTGTGCCTGGGGGTTGGGATTGAAGAAACAGCAGCTTCACCTTCCGCTAAAACGCTCAAACAAATCGGCAGGGCCCCTCTTTCTCCAAAGAATCCAGGCAATCCACGCAGGGAAAAGACAATATCCCTGACAATTTGAGTGGAAAGCGCAGGGAGTAGGGGACTTCCTGTCCGGGGTGCACCTTCCGTTTGGGCTTTGGGGTGAGTTTGTGGTTTGCTCACTTTTGCTATGGGCTTCTCCCCGAGGGTGCTGTTCTCCCTTGGCCCTGACTCTGACTCCCTTTCAGGTCTCTCTTCAATATGCTCTGTCTGACATGCTTTGACTTGTGTCATTCCGTCCTTTCTTTCTTACCGGCCCAGTCCATGCTCTTCACTTCTTACCAGGACGAGCGCCAAGACGTTGCGGGTTTAAAATCCACAAGAACGTCAGTGCCAAGAGATGATTGACAGACTGCGTTTTTGGCCCCAAGATAACCGTGAATGTATCCAAAAGACAAACAATCATATGATGTTCCTGATCAAGTTCAAAGAAGTCTCTTCACAACTGGTGTGATCATGAATTACACAAACCTTTCTCATTGGAGATATCGTTTTCCTTATCCTTGTCTTGCCAAAGGTTAATCTTCTAACCCCAGTCACTTTCACTGCGGACCTCAACACGTCATGCCAATAGCGGACTCCCAGTCGCTGCTGGTTGGCCGGCCCGGCTTTCAACGCTCCCCCGCAGGCCCGAAACCGCGGGGTGGCTGATAAAGTCGGGGGAGATATCCCGCAGCCTAAGGAAAATGACTCGGCCGCATAAATAATGTCCGACCTTGTCTGCCTTTGATATTGGAGACTCTTGGGGTCTTGAGGAATCAGTTGCAGATTTATGGACATCATCTCTTTCCAATTGGGCACATCAAAACGATCCATGCAAGAGGCCAGTCTCGACAGGTCGGCTAAATATACTTGGCTCTGATTGTCGAGAAGCTTATCTTATGCTTATTTCTAGACACCCGAATTCGGATGTACGATCCGTCCTCGCCGCAAGACTCTTACATGGTCTGAGGGAAATGGGAACGCAGGAAAGTTGATATAAATGAGCTAGCCTCCATCCTAAACGACCAGAAGACTTAATAGGCCTTGAGACTACCTAACTATTTTTGGCGCCTCAGCTAAAGGTCAGGAGTTTTCTTGCTCCTTAAGGACATGCCGAGTCTTCCCATTGTGAAGAACGTAATTAATATTGCATCCATGGATCCTATCACAGACAATTCTCTTTACTGCGTCATGGAATACCTTTCCCCTTGACATCCATTCGATAGCTGATTTTAAGAAGAACCGAGACTTCCCAGGCACGTATTGAGACCATGGTAACGAAGCAGAGATTTGGTGCATCTGTTCACATATTGAACCCGTTTGAAAGAGCAGTCCAATGACGCAAACTGGAGCGTAGGTGACCATCAATCCAAATGATGTTGAAAGTGCTCTTTATTTCTCTTAAACGAGAAGCTCTGAAATCTCGTGGGTATACGTTCCTGAAACCCGATATATACAAAGCGACCACCTGTTGACGTCCCGCATTAGGAACTGTTGTAGCACGCAGGTGCTTCAATTCCTGTCCCTTGATGCACAGCTCTACCATTAAAAGGTTTATGAATGAGACCATCGCAATGATTCTGTCCTGCTGATGAAATCCTCTGACAATCTTCCACTGGCGTTGTCTCCTTGTTGTGAAAAGGAACTGGGCCGCAGGGAGCATAACGGGTTGAAGCCAAGCAGAGGGATGTCCAAAAACAGCCCCAGAATACGAATAGAAGATCTTTGTCAATGCTCAGGATGAACGAGTAGAAGCTAGGTGTTTGCAAGGCCACAAGCAAGAGCCTGCGTGCCAAGTGGTGTTTAGGCTGTGGACAAGGCGCTGTCGTGCAACTGAGCTTTCAGTGTGTACACCGTTGCTTCTTGACCTCTTGTCAAGCCGTTTCTCTGATGCAGCATTCGATCGGCGATTTCTTTGTGGCTTGTGTCCTCATCTGGAGTGTAGCACTCAGCCGGAGTCTCGTGTGTTCTCACGGGTTTCATATCATGAAGAGCGATTGACATGACATTTCGCCGCTTATGCGCTGTAGCTGGGCGTACATAGGCGAGATCACCGGAAAACATTTTGACTTGACGGGGGTTTCTAGGATATCACAAATGGGATGAAGATACGAGAGATGTGGTTCATTATGTAGGAGAGGGGAAATGGCGTCTAGCTGAGGAGCTGACCTATTGTCAACTGCTTTAGGACATGCGCCTATCGAGACTTGACACTTGGGCCACCAAACATCAATATCGCCGCCATGATTCTTTGTTGATAAAATTGTCGAATAGACAAGACGCTGTTAGACTATACTATATCTCATTAATTCTCTCAGTAGGTCCAGCTGCGCACCTTTGATTGTGCATCGTATCTATGTATGTATGCATCGTATTCAAATTTTAATATGAACAGCTAATTAAAGCGTTGAAGTTAAATAACACATTCAAGATATACGTCAAGTTACAATCAATAAATGCTGTTTCATGCTATAAAACAATCCATCAGATTTTATCTGTTGAACCTGCAAACTGCCGCTTATTAGCCTCTCAGGCTGCTTGATGTATCGTTCCACCCGCTCGGATCGCTTTTCACGTTGAGTCAATGTTGACCAAAACCTGCCCCGGCATGTATGGCTCTGATTTGTTTTGGCTGAAGGGAGAAATGCTCGGGCTTGAGGTAAAGACATTCTCTAGGTAGGACTCTGCGGCTGGAATACCCCTTTCAGTAAATCCCCTGCCGATCAGACCTATTAAGGAATTGTTATTGATAGACAGGACAAGGGCAATGTTTCCTCAACGTACTCTGTACGATCACAACCAATGTTTGAGTTACATTCGCGTTCCTCCAGATCCTTTACGCTACGGACAATTTAAATCCGCCGTATGTCCACAGACCAAGTAACGAAAAGCGATGCACCGAAATCTGAAGCAACGGAGCTCCCATGCTTGGACACATCCGTCCAAGCGCACATCCTTTTTAGGTGCACGTCACAACAGATTTGGAACATTGCAATCAATTGGAGAAACAGTCTAGCCTAATAAAAACAAACAATTGAATGATCAATGCCCGTTTTATTGTAGAACCTAGAATGTAGATCCTGACAACGGCGAGTAACCAGGATCTCGTCCCACAATGGCAGGACAGGATGCTTTATAAATAGATAAACTCCTGCCTGTTTATTCATACTTGGGCTGCGGAAGCGTGATCCTACAACGTCATTAAAATGCGCTTCTCGTCTATCTCGTCTATCTCGTCTATCTCGACTGCTCTTCTAGGCCTCATCGGATCGGCCAGTGCCTTCGGTGGTATTGCTCCTGATAGTAGACAGTTCAGAACCTTGGAGCGCCATGGCCTTACTGTCTTCAAGCATGCCGCTACCAATTCGAAGCTTGAGTATGTGACCAATTCAGGAATCTGCGAGACGACACCTGGTGTTGGCCAATACTCTGGATACTTGTCTGTTGGTAAGTCGATCATATTCAATACCCCGAGGTCCCTGGTAATAATGTTGATATAGGAAAAAACCATAGCATGTGGTTCTGGTTCTTCGAAGCTCGTCACAATGCTGAGAAGGCCCCCCTCGCTATCTGGCTCAACGGTGGTCCTGGGTGTTCCTCAATGATAGGCCTCTTCACAGAGCATGGGCCTTGTCACTTTGTCAATAACGACACTGAACCAACTCTCAACCCTCATTCCTGGAACGAGTACGCGAACATGCTCTACATCGATCAGCCAATCGGTACTGGCTTCAGTGTTGGAACCGAAGATGTCAACTCTACAGCACAAGCTGCCCCTTATATCTGGAAGTTTATGCAAGTCTTCATGGACCGGTTTCCCAAGTACAAATCCAGAGAGTTTGGTCTCTTTACACAATCCTACGGTGGACACTATGGCCCTGAATTCGCCGACTACTTCCTCAAGAAGAATGACCAAATCGAGAAGGGTGATGCTGAAGGCCACAAGATCGATATGGTAGCGCTGGGCATCAACAACGGCTGGATCGATCCTAAGCGGCAGTTCAAATCCTATGCAACATATGCCAACCGCAACCCCTACAAACAGATTCTTGAAAACAAACTTCTCACTCGTTTCATCGACGCCTACAATAAGTACTGTCTACCCGCCATCAACAACTGCACCCAACTTGAGGGTCAAGATGATGAATGCGCAGAGGCTGATGATGCATGCAACACCCAAATGTATACCAACCTCGAGATTGCAGGCAGAACCGACTTCAACGTTTACGATGTGCGTATCGGCAGGGATGATGTTGACCCGCCGGAGACGTTCCTTGAGTATCTCACGCGGGCCGATGTTATGGATGCGATTGGAGCCAACACCCGTTTCGCCGAGTGCAGTGACACAGTTTATGCAAACATGGCGACGACGGGAGATGGTCAGTACCCCTGTAATGGCAAAGCTAAAGATTAATGCTGACATGGTACAGGTGCGCGTTCATATGTCGGGCCTTTGGCAGACGTTGTGAAGCGTGGTATCAACACGCTTCTGTGGGCTGGAGATACTGGTAAGTGGGTAGTTTGTGACACAAGTAGAACAGAAACTGATTTACATCTAACAGATTGGATCTGCAACTGGGAGGGTGTCCTATGGGCATCTTATGCGCTCGAGTGGCCAGGCCAGAAGAAGTTTGTAGCAGCGCCCTTCAGCAATTACACGGTCAACGGCACAGCCCATGGCCGATACAAGACGGTAGAGAATCTGTCCTTCCTCAAGGTTTGGGAGGCCGGACATTCAGTGCCATATTATCGTGAGTACCTATGACATTGCCCAAGATTACCGGCTGACAAAAGAACAGAACCTGAGACCGCACTGCAAGTGTTCAAGCAGGTTATGCAGAAGAAGCCGATCAAGGGGACCTAATGAGATAAGAGCTCCGCAGAAATTATGTTTTCTTCAAGACGTTTAGGTAGACGGAACACTAGAACCATCAGGTCATGGTATTCGTAATGCATAATATCATTTTAATGTTTCATGCTTGTCCCACCAGACCCTAACCATTGAGCATTTTGCATTCTAGACATCCTGCCCTGTTCTCGTAAATTCATGTTTACATGCAGTTAAGATACAAAAGTAAATCGTACGCTAAGGTCGTACAGACAAATAGTGAATATGTAAGATACGTTCCAAACTCCCCGTGCCATGCGGTTCCTTTGCTTTTCGTTTTCGTCACTGTGGCTTAACCTTTTCAAGACGTAGATCATTAATGACCATGTACCGGCTGAGAGTGATCCAGCCATAGCGGAACCAGACCATCTGGCTTCTGTGCGCTTGGGTCATGGCGCTCCAAGCAGTGCCATAGGCACCACGGCCAACGAGCTGGTTCATGAAAACTAGACTTTCGGGTCGCTCCTTATCCTGGTCCTTGACACCAATGGATGAGAGTAGCGTGGGAACAAAGTCCATGAAGGCAGAGTACTTGCGCACAATGCCTACGGTGGAAAGAGTATATAGATCGACGGGGCTCGGCCACTCGGACGCGGTGGTAAGGGCCTGAATGAAGGATCTGGCACCCAGGTAGAGAGAGATATGGTTGGGATGAGAAGACACGCCATTGCTGTCAAATGTAACGAGGATGTCAATGTTGGCAGTGGGCTTCAGATTGTTCTTACGCTCCTGGCCAAATTTGGGCGCAAACGTGCTTCCTAGCAGACGAGCGATCAGGTTCTTGTCCCACATTCTCGTCATGGAGTCGGGGAAGTCGGTGCTATAAGTGAGGTATCAGTCAGTTTTTTTTGAGCCGCAAGTGTCGGTGACAGTGACTAGGGTATTCAACATACGGGTTGTCGACCACAAAAACATCGTCCTCGCTCTGCAGTCCCAGCGCCAGGCCGCTCTTGACCAGCTCCTTCTTGCGAACTTCTCCTAATCCGTCGGCATCTCCTATAACACGCCAAAGTCACCATCAGCCAAAACTGCTTTCAACCAATTTGTGTAGTCGCATCACTATGCGACTGCAAAGCACGGGTCGCTGCAGTCGGCTCATACCAGTGCTTAGGCATAGAATCTTGACGTGGTTTCCGTTCTCGGGTCGTGTGAGGGCGAGGACGGTCGGGGAGAAGAACATGGCTTCGTCGTCGGGATGCGCAATCAAGAGACAAACTCGCTTGTTCTTGATTGTCGATTGGGCAGTGCTGGCTGTGAACATGTAGATGCCTGGCACCACAACGGCGAGGCCGGCGAAGATGTGAAGAACGTTCATATCTGCAGTCGCTTCGAATACGGTGCTACGGTTACTTTTGCGACAAGAGTGCTAGAGAACTGCGACTTCGGCTATTGGGTACCGGATGGATGTGGATGATGATCGCTACAGCAGCGCAAGGTCTATATGAGCTGTGAGCAGAGACTAGAAGCTATACCAAGGTCAATTGGATTGTTAGAAGCGAAAACTTGGCTCCTGTCGGAAGCTGGTCGTGACCCGGGTCATAAACGAGTTGTGATGGCTGAGACAAAAGTGGCACGAGACGCGAGAAATAACAAGTGAAACTTGGTCATGGAGGGGCAGGAGCTCACGAGGTCGCAGATGCCAATCGCTAAGGCAACCCCCCATAGACCTGAGCCTAACGGTTCACCGCCTCACTAGACTGTCCCGACGCCTTAGCTGAAGCTCAAGGAGCCCCTCAATTTACAGAAGGTTGGGTAGTGGCGTTGAGCACGGCAGG